GCAGGAGTAAGCCTTCCACTTGTAGTTCATAGAATCCAATTTATTTTGTTATGGATACATTGATTTTTCAAGGTATAAAACTGTTCTTATTCATCTGACAATTCAGTGCTGTGTGGTTGAAGGAACTTGGGTAAGGTAATGGCATCTGTGCTTCAGTGCCAAGGCACACCTGGTGCTTTTTGAGCAGGGGTCCTCAAACTACGGCCCGCGGGCCACATGCGGCCCGCCAAAAACATTTATCCGGCCCGCCTCTCCTCTGTGGATTCCACCAAGGGCTCCTGGGAGGGCTGTGCGGGCGAGGGCTGTCTGGAAGAGCCCTGCTCGGAATTTGTTCATAGTTTTTTTTAAAAAAACTATAGTCCGGCCCTCCAACGGTCTGAGGGACAGTGAACTGTCCCCCTGTTTAAAAAGTTTGAGGACCCCTGTTTTTGAGTGTTTATACTGCACATTCATACTTCAGTAATCCTGGCACAACCCTAAAGTAGGTCAGTGTTTTTACCCCCATTGGTAATAGAGGACTGAAGCCGAGAGCCACCAATTGTGAAAGCCACCTATTTAAATACATGACAGACTTCCTGGTTCACAGCTCAGTCTCTTAGGGTGCCATCCTAAGTAGATTTATACCCTTCTAAATCCATTGGAATTAAAATTGCTGGGAAAAAGATCAACAACCTTAGATATACAGACGATACCACTCTAATGGCAGAAAGTGAGGAGGACCTAAAGAGCCTCTTGCTCAGGGTAAAAGAGGAGAGCGCAAAAGTGGGCTTGAAGCTCAACATAAAAAAAAACTACGGTCATGGCATCCGGCCCCATCACTCCTTGGCAAATAGAAGGAGAAGTCATGGAAGTAGTGACAGACTTCACGTTCCTGGGATCCCAGATCACCGCAGACTGTGACAGCAGCCATAAAATTAAAAGACGCCTGCTCCTTGGGAGGAAAGCGATGGCGAACCTAAACAGCATGATAAAAAGTAGAGACATCACCCTGCCAACAAAGGTCCGCATGGTCAAAGCAATGGTATTCCCAGTAGTCATGTATGGCTGCAAGAGTTGGACTATAAGGAAGGCCGAGCGCCGAAGAATAGATTCTTTTGAACTATGGTGCTGGAGAAGACTCTTGAGAGTCCCTTGGACTGCAAGAAGATCAAATCAGTCAATCCTAAAAGAAATCAACCCTGACTGTTCCCTGGAAGGCCAGATAATGAAACTGAAGCTCAAATACTTTGGCCACCAAATGAGAAGGGAGCACTCACTGGAGAAGACCCTGATGCTGGGAAAGACTGAAGGTCAAAGAAGACAGGGACGGCAAAGGATGAGATGGTTAGACAGTGTCATAGATGCAACGAACATGACATGGAGCAAACTTCAGAGGACGGCGGAAGACAGGAAGGCCTGGCGTGATCTGGTCCATGGGGTCGTGAAGAGTCAGACTCAACTGTGCGACTGAACAACAACAAGTCCATTGAAATCAGTGGACTTAGAAAAGTTAACTCTACTTAGAATTGCACTGTCTGATGCAACTGTTCATTCTCATGGCTTCTGTGCAGTCTCACAGGCTGGGCACGGGAAAGAGCTTTCAAGCTTTTAAATAAATTTTCAGAGTCTAAGAGTGCTCCCCCTCCCCTCTGTCTTGAGTGTAGCCTTTCCCATCCAGAGGGTCACGTGACAGAGGTGAGAAAAGCACTCTTCCCTCAGTTCTCTTTTTGCCTCCATAAGGAGAGCATGAGCTTAACTCGACCTGCGCTCTTCAGAACTTTTTTTTCTTGATTCCACTTCAATCTTGGGTAGATTGGCTTTATTCAAGAAGTGTGAGGAATGCGGAGCAAGATGGCTCAGACTGACCATCACAAGGCCTGTCTCTTCTGCTTGGGTGAAGGCCATAATACAACCTCATGCCCTGCTTGCCACCACCTCACACCTCAAGCCCAAGAGAGGAGAGCAGCCAGACTTAAAGCTACTTTATAGGAGGCCTTGGGTACCCCAAATCTCCATGTGGAAAAATGCCCCCCCTTGATAAAAGACCAAGGGCTCCGTTTGTGACCTTGGGACCAGTGCCCTCAGCATCTGAACCAGCGGAGGCATTGTCCCTGGTGAGATCTACATCAGAACCACTGTCCAAAAAAATCAAAAAAGAAAACCAAGCACTCCCAGCAGGACTCCTCCCGGCACCATTCTCCCTCCCCTCGACATCAAACGGCAATGCCTCAACATCAACAAACACCATCCCCTCGAGGTCAGAGCCCAATCTCTCCTCAAGGTTGATAGGAATCGCCCACTCAACACCAATGGACCAGCTGATCTCAGAGTCGACAGTCAACACTGACAGATCGACGTTTGGCATCGCCTGGATGCCATCTCTCTCACCTATAATCACCTATAGTTTCCCATGCATGTTAAGCCCACAACCTTCCTCTTGCTGCCTCGAGACCTTGCCAGGCAGTCCATATTGTTAGCCATAGTCTCAGTGGACAATTCTAATCCTTTTCCTTGTAGAGAAGTAACAGCTACCCTTTCATCTCTTTGAGATGAGCCATCCCGAACCAGAGACTTTTCATCTCCTGTTGGCTTTCCCCCAATATTCAGTTTAAAAAATGAAAAATGCCCTGCCACCTTTTTTATTTTAAGTGCCAGCAGCCTGGTTCCTTCTCGGGACAAGTGGAGACCGTCTCTTTTGTACAGCTCCCTCTTGTTCCAAAAAGCATCCCAGTGCCTAACAAATTTAAACCCTCCCCCCCTACACCATCGTCTCATCCACGCATTCATATTTAATCTGTTAGAACTCAGAGCTATTAGACATGCTCTTACTTCTTTTACTGTGCTCCTGAAGGGACGTCATGTTCTTCTGGCAACAGACAAATGACAGCCAAATTCATTGTGAACAAGCAAGGGGGCACAGGTTCCATCCAACTATGCAGAGAGGCATCATATGGCACTGGGTAGTATCTCATAGGGTGCATCTCACTGCCATACACATTGCAGGTCAGGATGACACTATGGCAGACATGCTAAGCAGAAACTTAGACACAAACCAAGACTGGTCGATTGCAGATTAGTACCTCCTCCCATCTTCAATGAGTGGGGTTTTCCCGAAACAGATCTCTTTGCCACAATCTCCAATGCCAAATGCTTCCTCTGTTGCTCCAGGGCAGTAGTGGGCAAAGATTCTATTGGGGATGCTGTGACAGATTGCACAAAAAAGCAGACTTTTTAAAATGCTGCTTGTGTCAGAGAGTCAGGAGAGTTCAAGAGTTAATCTTCCCTGGAAAGAAGTTATGTGATTGGCTGCTCTACTCACTCTCTGATTGGCCAGCATCAGCTTAGAGAGGAAAGAAAACAGCTGATCTGGAGGGGAAAGGATCTTTCACCTTTTAGTCTTGGTCTGAATTTGAAGATCTGGATCAGTAGCCAGAGAGTTTGGCTTCTGAGGGAAGAGACTTTGGGAGTCAGTGATTTCTGTCTGGGAATTGTCAGAAAAGTACTTCTATAGCTAGAAGAATAAGAACCCCATTGTCTTAAATATATTAGAACTACTCTGAGGGAGAACTTAAATTCTCAGTCAAGAAAGCTACAGAGCAGTTTTATACAGACAACAGATACTGGAGAAGGATTTAGCAGAAGGCCTGGGTAGTTATAGAGAGAAACTGTATTCAAGATTCTGTGTAACAGCTGAAATATACAATAAGCAGCTATCTGGTCAATGCCCTCAACATTTCCCTGGCATTCATAGAATCATAGAATCACAGAGTTGGAAGGGGCCATACAGGCCATCTAGTCCAACTTCCTGCTCAGTGCAGGATCAGCCTAGCCTAGAGCAGCCCTATAGATGTGGGCATGGATTTCCAGAATGAAGCAGGTGTGTGGAAATCCATTTTACAATCAGTCTTCCGTTGATCAGCCCACACCTACTTCCTCGGTAAATGACCTTGCTAATCTCCGTAATGGGACTGCACAGAAGCCGTGACAATGAAAACAGGGTTGCACTTACCTGTAACCATTTTTCATTGAGTGGTCTTCTGTGCAGGTACACATCCCTCCCTCCTTTCTCTGCTATGGGCTGGTCTGCTGGTCATGCAGTTCCTTATGGCGACAAAGGGAGAACTGAGGAGTGCTCTCCCTGTCTCCATCATATGACCTTTTGGGCGGCAAAGGCTACACTCAAGACGGAGGGAAAGTTCTTTAAAAGCTTGAAAACTTTTTCCTGTGGCCAGCTTGCGATGGCGCGGTCCCCATGTGTGCCCGCACAGAAGACCACCCTATGAACAGTGGTAACAGGTAAGTGCAACCCTGTTTTCTCATCACATAGAACCAAGGGACATTCACAGCACTTGTTCTGCCATGATTATTATTAACTTGTACTTGCTTAGCCGCCCAGAGCCTGCTTGCGGGGAGGGCGGGGTAAAAATCAAAATAAATAAATAAATAATTAATTAATTAATAATGACATAAAAGAGTCATACAAAAATGGATGTCCAGTAATGGCAGAGCGGGCAATGGCAATTGGAGATGTTTTAGGGGCTATTAAGGATTCCAAAGAACCAACAGTTTAGTTGCTTATTTTTTTTATTGTAAAAAATTTATCTAACAAATGGAACAGAAGCCTCATTTGCTAGACACAATAATCCTATTGTATTGTAATGTAACAAGCCACATTGTGTGTCACTGTGACTTGACTCTGCATCAAAGATAACAACCTTTAACTAGCATCTCGTTTTGCCTTTTAGCCCAACCCCTCAATCTCCAGTTTTAAGGAACAGAAAAGTTCACCAATCTGTGTCAAACTGGGGTTGAGATGCAATTATCAAATGGTCCTTTATGACCTTGAAACCAGTGAACAATGGAACCCATCTTGTCCGGTGGATTTTGAAGCGGGAATTAACTGGCTGTGTTAATGGATGTAGTTGTGGAAATGTAGCGAGATTTTTCCAAGACAAGCATGGAATAGCTTAAATTGTAAATGTGTTCAATTATAAATCTTATTTTGCTTTGTTCTCTTCCAGAGGATTATGCCCACCTGTGCAACATTCAGGTTCCTGGATCACGAAGGCCATATGGGCAGGATGCATTGGTTGACTTTGAAGAGGAGCACTACAGTCCAGAAACTGATCCATACTTTGTGGAAGACCGTAAGTAGCTTTTACGACTTGTAGGTGAGAATTCTAATTTGAATTCCGGTCTCTCCCCCCCATTTTATATACACACACACACACAATTATTGTGCTTATTTTATTGACAGTTTTTTTTCTAGCAGATGTTCTCACACTTGAGGCCAGGAGTTGTGTGTGAGCTCAGTTGCTCAAAGTAAAATATTAATTTTTAATGCAGTGAAGTATATCGATATTTAACAAATTTACCACTGAAAGTGAAAAGAATAACTAATATTCTTAGAAGGAAGTAGATGTCTCTTTGGAAACACAAGATTCTCCAAAACAGCATAATTATTTCAGTTTTATCAGAAAAAAATGATTTGGGTTTAGTCCAGTGTGTCAGCATAAGCTCTAAGAGCCTTTTTACCTCTCCTTTGGGGAGGGGGGATCCAATATGTCCACACACTCTGAAACATCTTCAGGCCTAGGAATCTGATGTCCTTGTGCATGTGAAGTACTTTCAAGTTACAGCTGACTTTATGGTGACTCCAACAAGGGTTTTTCAAGGCAAGTGATTAAGCAGAGTTGGTTTGCCATTGCCTTCCTCTGCAAAGTCTTCCTTGGTGGTCTCCTGTCCGTCCCAGCTTAGCTTCCAATATCTGATGAGATCAGGCTGTTCTATACCATTCCACATCCCCTTGATGTCCTTAGGAGTCATTAATACTGTGTGCCTCAACACCAGGCTTTTTTCACTGTTCCCTGCACAGCTATCAAGGCGGGAGTAGAGCAGAGTGCACTAAAACAGAATAGACTGTCAATGTTGCAGTTTGCCAGATGTGCAGTCAAGAATCTGTGGTGTAGAATGAGTTATAGCCTTTTGCCAGTGGAGGAGGTGATTTGGTTTACTGAATGGTAGGGGAAGCTGGTGCCATGTAGGAAGAATTCTTAGATGCTGTTGAGCTGGGAGCTTCAGGTGTGCTCAGGACTTGAAAGATAGCAATCGGGGGCACCAATGATGTTGAAGTGATTTTGTGATGCAAGACATAGAAGGATAGAAAGGTGACACACCTTGACATCAGAGGGCTTGGATAAGAATGTAAATTTGTTAACTAATGAAAAAACAGAAAGTTCCATTCATTATGGATCCGTTCATAATCATAATCAAAACGAATAGGAAAACTACCCATGTTCATTCATATTACTTTCTCTTTGTTATTCTGATGTCTGGTTTGAAGAATGTACATAGGATTCAGATTCAGAGAGAGGAGGGAAGAGAGACAGGAGATAATGGAACAGACAGGATACTTTCCCAATCATTATATTCAATCTCGCAACAAAGACAAGTTTTCCTAATACCTTTTCTTTCACCATTCACTGGTGGCTTAGGGGGGACTTTGTTGATTCTGTAGATGCAGTATACCCTCACCATCAGTATACCCTCACCATACCTGACCCTGTTCTGTTTTTTAGAGACTGAACATTTTCAGTAGCTTTTTTCTGTTTTGCATTTAGTATTGCTACAGAGTTCTAGTGCGAGTCTGTCAATTCCGTGCTCTAAATCTGTTAATGTCACTAAGCCTGTTACACTTACTGAGTGTCTGTCACTCATTGTGGTGCATATGAAGGTAAAGTTATTTCCATAAAACGCTATTATCCAGTGTTGGGGTTTTTTTGTGCAAAATACTCGTTTTCACGGTCTGAACAATGAACAGTGTGCCCAAAATCATGGAACAGCAGCAGGGGCCAAGAACCTGTCTTGCTTGGCTCAGGCAGACAGCTCACTGCCTCCTCCTGCTGCCCAGTTTAAACCAGGGGAAGCAGGCGAGGGCAGCCTAGCTGGGATTGCTTTGCCTGCGGGGAGCCCACTACTCTCAGCAGGTGCAGCTCTGCACTGCCTTCTCCTTCAGCTTGGCTTGAACCAAGAGGCAGGAGAGGGTAGTCCAGTTGGGATTGGCTGTGCCCATGGTGAGCCAATCACTCCCCACTGACAAAGCTCTGTGCTGTCTTTTCCTGAAGCTCGGTTTAAACCAGGCTGCAGGAGAAGCCAAGGCAGCCCCAGCATTTTTCAGTTCTGATCTACTGGACCCCCCCGAAAATTTGGGATTTCTGAAAAATCCTGGATCTGAATACTGTACCGGTATGTGGATCTGGGATTTTTTGTGAATCCCAGCATTTTTTCAGATCCAATAGATCCAAACCAAAAATGCTGGTCAAAAAAAGTTGCACACCCCTAGTGGTGATAAAGGGACACTTCCCATTCCAGCTGCATGTTGCTTACAGCCTCCCTTTTCCTTCGAATCACTTTCCTCTTGCTTTGGTTAACATGTCACATCACATGAAGGGAAACAAAGGAAAAATAAGTGCAAGCAGGACAAGAGAGCTGTAAATGTTTTCGTATATTTCATTCTTTACTGGCCCTTACGCAAATACATTCAGCAGAAGCCAACCTAATGATTTCATCTCTTCTGAATGCTGTACAAACTCAGTTGTCTTACACAGAGTTGTATAAGGTTCAACCATTTCACTGTCATATGATTTTAATTAAACAAAGCAGTGCTTTGAACTGAGCTGTAGCTAAATAGCAGCTTTGTTGAAAATTTGCAAAATACCATACAGGAATACCATACATAGAAATAGGTTATAGTCATGGGGATGAAACAGAAAGCGTTGGGAAAATAAATTAGTTTACCTACTGTTGTTGAACAGCTAAAGTGCAGTATTTTTCCTTCAAGTTGTTTGTACATGTTTGGGGTTCAACTTAGAGCCTGTCTGGGGGGGGGGGAGGCTAGCTGTTGCTAGAGCACATGCCTTACATGTGCAAAATCCCAGTGTCAATTTCTGTCCCATGTAATTGTGGCCCCCACAGTGAATGGGTGGCCTGATGGCTTGACAACGAACAGAGACCTTTTTGTGGATATAACAGGCCAGAACTTTATTGATTAGAGCTGCAAAGGTTTGGCTTGGCATAGGGTGAAGGATTGAAGGCCTCAAGCAGCCCAGCTGCTGCCCAATAGAAACCCGTCCCTCAGCCCATCTCCTGAGAGGAAAGCACCCCAGGATAGCAGACAAATGGGAACACCAGGACACTGTGTGTTCCCCTTGGCACCTGGAGGCGAGGAGAGTCTGGCAGCCCCCAAGCTGGGCATGACTCCCTAAGCCAAGGGCTGATGGGCACATAGGCCCAATCTTCCCAAATGGATCCAGCCCAATGCCAAAACAGCCCCCCAAGTCACAAGCCTGCTTTGCTCTGTAGTTTTGGGAAGGATTGCAGCAAAGCCTGGATAGCTGCTAAGTGGGAAAGTTTAAAATTTCCAGGTCCTGCCCATACAGCAGCCATTTTCTTTGCAACAGCCATTTCCTCTCCCTGATGCCAGGGCTTTTTTCTTTTATTTTTAAATCAGTGACTGAATAATGTTATATCAGTATACTGTTATATCAATACACTAGCCTGATACCTGTGCTTCGCTACGGTATTTTAAGTTCCGTAAATCCAGTTATAATACTGATGATGTGAAGTCTGAAATGTAACATTTGTTGTAGGGATTCTAATGGAGAAGACTAGTGAAAAAAATGAACTGAGACATACGTTAAAAAAAATTCTCTACTGAAGGACCTCTCTGTAGACCACATTGGTAGTTCTGCCCTCAAGTGCTAGGATCACCAGGATCACCCCTTTCGACTCACTTAGGGGTCGAATTTCTAAAAATCTCTTCTTAGTGAGCATCTACGTCATGGTAGGAGTGCTCTCCCCGAATTTCGTGTTTCTAGGTCCAGGGGTTTGGCCTGGGCATTGATTTTACGGTGAGGGGACTTTCTTTTATATGTATAGAAGAGAAAGTCGCCTCACTCAGAGTTCTGAGGCAAAACCTGTCTGCACCCACCTCCCTCTGATTGCTCAACTGTGGATCTCAATATTGTGAGGTAAAAACACAGTTAGAAGAGACTGCAGACAGTTGAGGACAGTTACAGAAATCAGCTATTCAAGACTCCTGAATAGACATTTTTCAAAAAAGCCAGCAGGGCAATTGAGTTAATTAATGTTTATGGGGAGATAGTAAAGGACATTTCTAGGAGCTATTTTGATGCATTCCTCCCTCATGAACCTGAAGAAATGTCCACCACATCACCACTCCCTCACACCAACTCCCCCTCACACCTCTCACCTCTTACTGCCCCCATGAAAGCTCCTGGCAAAGTCGAGCCAGATACACCAACACTACAAAGAGGAAGCAATATAGGAATGTGGCAAAGACATTTGCACATAGTACTCCTGCGGGGCACTGAGCTGTGTAGGCGAAGTACCAGCGAGATCACCCTGAGGTGCTCAGAACAACACAGTCTCCATATGAGCAAAACAATCCAGGAACACAAGTAGAGAGGCCATCACTTTCGTGGAAGGTGGCAGGAGTGGACGTAACAGACGACTGCTTCTTAAATGGACAGTTCTATGTGGCCTGCTCCAGAGTGAGCTCACCAAGCAGCCTGGTGATCCTAGCACCTGAGGGAAGAACCACCAATGTGGGCTAGAGAGCGGTCCTTCAGTAGAGAGGAGGAAAAGTACATATGTCTCACTTCATTTTTTACACTACAGTCTTCTCCATTAGAATTACTACAACAAATGTTACATTTCAGACTTCACATCATCAGTATTATAACTGGATTTACGGAACTTAAATACCGTAGTGAAGCACAGGTATCAGGCTAGTTTATATATATATAGATGTATCAGGTTCTCTGAATTATCAGCTTTCTTTTTTGGAAAAAAGTAACCTCCTTTGTTGTGGAGATATAAGGGAAAGGCAGTATAAGGAGTATAATGGTATATTTATATAACGCTATTCAATCTCCAATTAAAAAAAAATCTACCATGGAAGCCTGCTGTGTAGAAGCCTCATTACTGCTGCGCTGCAAGAGTAGCTGCAGCTCAGCAGAGCAACCATGCAAGCCTGTCCCGGCATGGAAAACACCTTAATTCCCAGGCTTGTGGGAACCTGATTCAAATTAGGGCCACAGTGCACACAGGGAGTGGTCTTAAGCCT